AAATTACAAAATGCAGCTAAAGAGCTTCTCTTCAGACGTACAGTACCAATTTACACAGCTTTGTTTTGCAGTCTTGCTGCTTGTCACATAAGAAAAACTTGACCGAAAGCAAAGGATGATTGAATCTGGCAGCCTGAAGACTGAACACCAAAAATTTGACTCAGGTAATAACATAGAGCAGTTCCAAACATCCCTCTCACATACAGTGATGAGGAAGACTTGTGGCCAGAGCCCAGAAGTAAACAGCAAATTCTCTGGCACCCTTATCTTTATTTACCTGTTGTCAGCTGTCCCGATACAGAGAGCACATCCTGCCTGGATGGAGGGAACAAGGCAGGACTGTGATGGACTCTCTGCCTTTGCTGCTAATGCACGAACTCTCTCCTCTCTGGCTCTGCCAATCTGCAAGATCACAGAGCTGACAGAACTACAAGACAGGTGATACCATACTTCTCTTTAGGAAATACATCCTTTTTCTACTTTTCTTGCCCTCCCAACCCTCCTCATTTCCCATCTTGCCATACTGAATCCAGTCGGAGCACAGGGTTACCCCATCAAAGCAGCTCTGGACATAAATAATTGCAATTTGGGGGTTCTGACCTACTTGCGAGCAAGCTGAAGACACCTAAACCACCACTTCTTTTCACAAACAGGCTTTTTCTCCCTACAGAGAAGGGTCTCCCTACCTTTCTCCCAAAACTGAGCCTTCAAGCTATGCTTTTTCATAAGAAGGTTATACTGTTTCAGTTATTGAGTTATTGCATATATGAAAACTAATGGAAAACCTGCTTTAGGAAGCAAAGGAGGGGAGAAAAAATTTGGAGTTTTCCTATGTCCTTAAAATCAGGGTCAAGTTTCTGTGATGATATTTTAAATGAATAAGAGGATAAACGGAGTGTGGATGATTGTCTGGTCCTTAATTTTTCCAGTGTTTATGTATGGGTTTTATGATACAGTCAATATTCCTAAGCCTATTTGAAAATTAATCTCTAGTGAACAGGTGAATAGATATTGCAGCACTGACTCTTCTGTCTCCATTTATCTTTCCACTTATGAAGTTAACTGAAAATAGGAACTTACTCAATAGCATTTTTCAAGGCACACATTATTAGAGCATTCTGACCTATAGCAGCAATTTGTTCACTCAGAGGCAACAAGTCAGAGAGAACACAAGTCCTTGGCACTGCAGAGACCAAAACTGACGTAATAGTAACAATGATGTCACTCTTCATATCTATAATACCTGCCTTACGTTAACAATTCTTTCTCACCAAAACCACCGATATCTTTCTTTTTTTTTTCTCAGTTTTTATTCTAGATGTCACATCCAGTTCAGAAATAAAAACAATGTATTTGTTTTTTATTTACTTCTTGTTGGTATGTATCAAGTCAGGAAGCTGCAAAATGCTATACAACCAGAACTGAAAAAAAAAAGTACTTTTGCAAAGATCTAACACAGTGGTGCTTTTGCCTTCCTTAACGTGTTTTTCCAACTAGTACTCTACAGGCAGCACTGCTTCCCAAAGTACAAATTCTGATGGATCAAAGGACATGGAAGATGTGACAAGTACAAGACAGAAAGACAGGCAACATACATATGGTCTTCTTTTTACAGCAAGCCCATTCGTCACCTGTATGGGAACTGCTGAGTCACGGCCTGAACCTCTGATTAGTCACCTGAGGCGAGCAATGAGTCAGCCCTGGGAGCACAGGTGAAAGCAATTCACCTGTGCTGCAGGAAGGGGTGGAGCCTGGCTGCACCTCTCCATAGACCCATTTAAGAGCTGACTACCAGTAGGGAAGGATCTCTCTCTCTTTAGAAGATCCACTCCACTGGAGTTTCCTGAGCAAGCCCACAACATGGGTA